TTTTTTTTTTTTGTAATTCAAAAATATATTTTAATATATAACAAAATATATTTCTAATATATTCATTATAATAATAATAATAATTATTATTATTATTTTTTTTTTCAGGGAGTGGTGTGTTCTGGTATAACATATTATTTATCCGGGGTAATAATGAAAGAAAAAGGACCGGTTTTCGTTACCGCATTTAATCCGCTTGGCATGGTGATCGTCGCGGTTCTGAGTTCTTTCATTTTTGCCGAGCAAATGACAGTCGGAAAGTGAGTAGTAACTTGTATATCTAATTATCTATAACATGAAAAGTATATACAATATCTAAATACGGTATCGAAATCTCATTGATGTAGGGTGTGTGGCGCTACAGTCATCGTTATCGGGTTGTACTTAGTAATTTGGGGGAAAAGCAAGGACCAGAAAGCAATAGAAATTTCCCAGCAACAACTGCCAAAAACAGCCACGAGCCCTTCTTCAACAAATGATGAGCCCAAAGATGATCATGCAAACAAAACAATAATAGCTGGTCCTGAGGCTGTTTAATTAATAATCAAGAATTAGATACTTTTGTTGTATTCATTATTTGGTCCAACCAATCCTAATAAATTACTTTTAGGTACATTTGTGTGGACTTGGATTTTTCTAGGTGATTTTGCTGTTGCAGTTTTATTTTGTAGAATTTACCAAAATTAAGGTAAATTCGCGATTAGGGGCTCTATTAATGAAAGAGGAAATCCTCGAAAAATTATTGTGCAACACTTTTTGTTCTCATGAAATAGAGAATTACCTTTTTAGCCCTGGCCATGATTTATATTTTTAGCTTTGCTCTGTATTTAATATCCATATCTTTTCAGAATTAAATATTAACTAGTACAATACCCATTTAGCGTTGAGTTGATTAAAGTTATTGATGTCTTAATGTCAAACCTAACTCCAAAGCAAAAATAATATGAAAACAATATCACGAAGCATAGATTTTCGCCATGTCAGTATCCGAAGCATGAGAAGCTGTCACTTAGGCTCAACACATTTTGAATTAATATATAGGGAGGGATAGTATTTTCCGTTTCTTTTATAAAAAAAATAAGAAACTTCTAAATTTGGAAACAAAACCTCTAGAAATTGTCTGCAGAAAGAAAAGTCGTTAAAACTTTTGACTGCATGTGAGGTTTCCTTTTTCTAATCCACGTGGATGGATCGACCACATACATTGGCTAAAATTTTATAGCATCCGTAGCTAGACGACTCAGTTTAAGGGTTTATTTTTTGTTTTTTTTTTTTTCTTTTTAAATCAGTTTTAGGTGTTTGTGTATGTAGCTTTGGGTTTTGTGATTGTATTTGTGTTTACTGTTTATACTTGTGTCGTGGGAATCTCCAAGTAGATACCGATGTACATTGTATTCTAGATCGTAAATATTAATCTTTATAAATTAATTCAAAACATGTCGATTAAGTTGAAGAGTCTCAATTCTTCGGATGCTGACATAGTGAAAATTATTGTTGAACTATCACTTGTGAGTTGTCCCACATTGATTCTATAGGGAAGATGAGTCTAGTATATAAGTCTAGTGGGCTACTCTTCCCATCACCAATTGATTTTAGGATGAAACCTCATTATGGTACACCTAAGCTCACCCTCTTATGGTGCGCTTAATATGTGTGGGACCACACTCTCTTGCCCCGGTTCTCTAATCTTACAACTGTGCTTTGTATTTTTGTTTATATAATCATTTAGCTCTAGAGATAGATTTGGTATTAGACATAAATATTTTTTTTTTTTCAAATTTGTAACTGTATATTTAATTTGTTATTTTTTTTTCTCTTAATACATATTTTCTTAGTTTGAGCAAGTTACAATTTTACAAAATTAGAATTTTCCTTCATATTTCTCTCTTAAATTACGATTTATAAATCACTTTCACTGTCTTTTTTTTTTTTGTCATCAATTGGTCTACCAAATTTTAAATAAAATTTTATTTTAACAATAACTTTTATCATATATTTTTTAACTCGACACTCATGTAGTACACGGGTATTGTACTAGTATCTTCTTATTTGTGAAGTCTATCGTTTCAAAAAAAAAAAAATGATTATTCTATGTAAATATTAGCGGTGAACAATATCTTATTCATTCGAGCTTTCTCTCTTCCGCGATAGAAAAACCCTCGCTTTCTCCTTCGCCTTCTCCCGTCCGATTTGAAGCCATTGGCCTTCCTCAGCGGGCATCGTTCTTAGCCGGCGGTCGCAGGCCCCAATTCGCTTGGATCCCGCCCCCTCTTTTCTGCTCCATCTGCCGATTTCCATGGATCGGGACCTCGACTGTCGCGGAGGGATTTCGTCGTTCTGGCGCCGATTCGTGAATTCCGTTCAGGGGTCTATCTGTTGTGCGGTGGTGGAGCCGTGGTGCGGTTCCTAGAGCGGGACATGACCCGATTGCTCGGCGACCGGGGCGGAGTCGGTGCTCAAGACCATCCCCTTGTACTCGGTTCTCGAGTCGATGGGGCCGTCGCGTCAATTCTTCCTCCAGTGGTGTTGGTCGAGGTGTTGTTGTGGTGGTGTGGTGGCTGTTGGGTAGCTTCCAAGCGATTTGGGGTCGAGGTTGGGGTCGTGGCATTCTTTTGTCTGTTCAGGGCAATTGGGTGTTGTGGTCGTGGTGCGAGTTGGCCTGCTGTGGTTCCGGGGTGGAGGTTTCGACTCCGTTAGGCAACCGAGTGGTTTTGGCAGTTTCGAGATAGCGCGTCTGGCTTCTTGATTCGTGGTCGACTTGTTTCCACTTGTTTGGTTAGGTATTGCTGCTTAGGAAGTGCTCGTTTAGTTTATGTCGTTTTTGTTTTGTTGATAGTTTAATAGCTTTGTGTGTTATCTCTGTTGTGTTTTTGGTCCGGACCGTTGGCCTCAGTTAGCTCGAGTGTGACTTTATTATCCTGTTGGGATCGTACACTCGGGCATTACCCTGTTGAGGTCTTTTTGTGTTGTTTTTTAGTCGTGTTTTGGTGTTTCATGTGTATTACTTCGTTGGTGTCGATTCTTGTGTATTACCCCGTTGGGGTCGGTTCTAGGCGGTCTTCGGATCTGTCCTCCCACTTTTTCAGCTGTTGGTTGTGTTTATTCAGTTGTTAGCTGTTAGCTGTTTGTATTCAGTCGGTGGCTGCCCTTTTACACACTCGTGCGCGTTATATAATATATCTATCGTTTCGAAAAAAAATATATCTTATTCTATAAAAAAATGGTGTTAAATCGATCTAGGGAAGCCCACATACCCCCTGGGCCCCATGTAGCTCCGTCAATGAAGATAATCATTGTTATTTTTTATGATTAAAGTATGATTTCTTTCAGCTTTTCCCTTAGAGACAGTCCCACGGGCGATTAGATATGAATACAATCAGTTTTGATTGGTTAAAAAAGTTATGAATAATTTTAACTGAAAGAGATTTTGAGTCGGAAGTGATAAGTAATTAAAAATATATGAGTGAATTAAAATTATTTGATATCTACTATTATAAAATAGAGTTAAGAAAAATTAAGATTTTGGTAAGTTATTTTCCCTCCAAAAAAATTCAAAATTCTTGTGATTAGTTCTATTTTTTTGGTTTTTCCCGCCTAAATGAAATTTCCGATTTTGTAGTAATTGATTTATGAAACTTTGATTTTGCTCATATTACAATTCCTTTTTTTTCTCCCTATTCTTAGGCCTTTTATTTAGGCTTTTATTTTTTACCTTTTGTTTAGATCTTAGATTTTATTCGGACGCACGTTTTATTTAACAAGAATATTTTTTTTGTTTTTATATGTGATGTGATAAGATTTGGTACAAATAAGATTTCACAAAATCCGGAGAAAATAAAAAAAAGGATAACAAATACATTTCAAAAATCCTATATAAAAGCTATCATCAGTTTTTCACACTTGCTTCTTCACTTCTCCTCCCAAATCATCCTGCAAAACAGAGACAGACTTGCTTAAAAATTTTTTTAAAAAAAATGAGACCAGTGTTTGATAGGCTCCACGCGGTTACAAGGGTGAACATGCCTTTTTTGAAATTAAAAGCAGTTCTAATTGTTGATACCGATTACGAATTGGAGACAAGGAACTTCTGTGCTATCATTTTTCAAGATCAAGAGGTAATTTTGTCGATCCTATATGTAACATCTACAGAATGAAGCAACTCAAAGGACATAAGTCGAAAGGCAACAACATACAATCAAACGGAATCATAAAAGGAAGAAGTGAAACAACAAGACAAGGTAACATTACTCGGATGATATATTACTTTTTAATACAATATTAGTTTAGATTTACCTTCGATTTTGGTGGCTACGTGTTTCTTCATCGAAGCTGCTAACCTTTTATGCAATGTACTCCCATTGCATCAACATATACTCGCATATAAATTATTAAGACAATGATTAGACAAACTACTGTATATGCTTAAATTTTTCTTCTTATTGTTTTATGTAAGAACTATTATTATGAGAAATTTTCTTATTTGTCTAATGCTTCTTAATTACAGAAACCGAGGGTAAATGGGTTGAACATTGCAGCATGATTGATAACAATGGGCCATGATTGCAACAAGTTAGCAATAGAAAGCCTACATCCATAAAACATGGGATAATTGAATCAAATACCCAAGGTGACAATGCACGTTGAGCTTATTTTTCTTACTTGCAAATTCTATGTTGTATGATTTTATTGTCACTGTATATCAATATCCTTGCAGTATATACAAACTGATGATAATTCACATTCATATGTAGTGAAAGTGTGTTTCTGCTCATATATCTTCCAAGTATGCAAGCTATTTCAATTTGTCGCATAAGCGAAATGATTTCATATATATTATATCACATTACAATTGTAAATGATTAGCATTCAAAGGAAACCCCACTAACAATAAACATATTTCTTTGATAAAAAAATTTTACTGAAAGCAATATAGCTATTAGTACCTTTGTTTTGCAAATGCGCATTCTGATATGCATGAGTGACTTGTGATTATCCATGACATCTCCAGCTACATTCAACATGCAATTTTACAGTTAATAGCAAGTATAAGCCGAAAAACATACATGTTCTACCATTACAGTAATCAGAAATATCAAATTTTGAATGAAATAAAACAAATCAAAACAAGGGACACTTTTTTTAAACCGTGTATTACAACCTTCGAACTTCATAGAACATGTTTAAGTTCCATTTTGCGTAACGATTAGTCTTACATGCGTTCGAAATTATAAATGCTTCAGAAATGGCCTTATTTTGCGCATGGATTGCTAAAAATTATAAATTAACAAATAAAAATTAAATATAAAACAACAATTCCTCTTTTTTTTTTAAATATATATATCTAACTCTTATTGTAAGATCCACATGAAAACCAAAAAGGTTAACATAGTTTGTAAATCGACTTTCGTATAGCAAACCAATTAATAGCCGATTTGTTAGGAATTTGCTGAAACAAACAAAAAAAATTGGATAAAATAACAACATACTTAAACTTAAAACATATATGTTGCTGTTAACATAAGATCCATGCTAAAAAAAACAGTGGATTAAAAAAACATAAAACCATCTTAAAATGTTACAGAAATGTAAAAAAAAAAAAACCCAAAAAATATGATTTTACTCAATCTACAAAAACAATTACGCGAGATCCGCGATAGATTTTGATTTTGTTTTTGATCATTGATCGAATTCATATTTCAATTAATAAAAAAATACAAAAATCGCTCATTTCCGTCGATCTACCATAACGTGTACACAATATCCACAAGATCTGTTGATTTTATATTTTTTATCGATCGAAAATTGAAGAATCGGATGATTTCTCCAAAAAATTAAATCGGTGTAGAGATAGGAGATAAGAGAGAGAGAGAGAGAGAGAGTAGGCGTGTTGAAAGAAAACCCTAAGTTATCGGACATTTTAGCTATTTATATTCCCCAACTTTTACTTGCAGCCCTTAGATCGTATTTGACTAATTGGGACCGTTCGATCTATTGCTTTACCTATTTGGGCCGGTAATTTTAATTGTCTTACAGGCCCGAAGACAACTTTGATCAGCATAAGCCTTATTTTTTAAGAATTTGGGCTTCTAATTAGCACCAACCATAACAAAAAAGGTCCATTTCAATTGATATGCATTTTATAATGTGTGTAACCATCCTAAAACATATCAATATTAGATTGTTTGTTTTTATAGATTATAAAAATAATTTCTATTAATTCACAATACTTTTTTGGCATTTTATTTAGTATTTTATTTAATTTAGTAATTTATTAACATATAAAATACTTATCAAATTACTATTTAGCATGTTACACAACGTTAGTCCAACCATTTATATCTCATTATTTATTTTTTTCTTCATTTTTACAGGTTCTATGAAGTCACCTATTGCCAAAGGATCGTCTTTTATTTCTCAACGAAAATAATCAATCCAACAGTTCTTCATATCAGTATAGAAGTTTGTTACATGGTTCTCAAGACTTACCGTTATCTGATGTGACTAATGGTATTATGTTATTCAATTCATACTTTAAATACATAATATAATTAATTTATTCTTTAACTTTTTGCGTCTACAAAAAATATTAATTTTGATTGTTTAATTTAGTGCTTGGAATAGGGCATTCTTCCACACCTGCTTTTAAGAGTAAAAGCAATACTAAAAAAGGTTACACAAATTTCATTTTTATATTTGTTATTATACTTAATTTGTTCGTTTATATTTTTTTTTTAATATCATACATTACATAAAGTTAATTAAGTTATTAGTTATTAAATATTGATAATAAACAGGTTCTATGACATCAACACCGAGCCATGTATCATCTTTGATTCCTCAACAAAGCTTCAGTAATCTGGGTTATATGTCTTATAAGTATCAAAATGTGTTTCATACTCCTCATATAACTCCATTATCTGGTTTCACACATGGTATGTTGCATTCTATTATTTAATTCAATATTTTAGTTGTTTGTTATAATTAATTATTTTTGATTGTTTGTTATGTAGAATTAAACATCGGTTCTTCTTCTGCCCAAAAGCATCAAATTGCGTGTAATGTTAAAAACAGTGAGTCACTATTAATAATTTTTATGATCATTATCATATCATGATGATTATTATAATTTAATAATGTTTTTTCAGGTCGTGCCATAAAACCTAATTGCAATTTGCCAAGAAATACTACACAAAAAACTGTCATAGACCTTACAAGTGATGACGATGATGATTATCGTTCGGGAGTTATGCATAATATGCCCCCGAAACAATCAAATGCAAGTAAGATTTATATCTTTCATTAACGACAAATTCTTTTATTTTTTATATTATTGTTTGTATAAATAATTAATATATTAATTAAAATGTACCGTTCATCTTTTACGAAATTCCGTGTCTGCTGTTAATGAGAATAGAAAGAGGTCTTTGCCTATTGAGTTGAATGATGTAATCGATCTCACTGTGGATGATGACGTCCCAATTCCAGTTCCCAAAAGAAAACGTGGAAGACCGAGAAACATTGTTGGATCCACATCGGCTCAATCCGGTGTGTTTTATGTTAATATAACATTAACTTTTTTTTTTTTTTTTTAATTCATTTGTTGCAATTTAATATATTTTTAAAAGTTCAAAATTTTGCAGAATATTGGGACATGGGTGATGCCGACTGTCAATGTATTTATTGCGGGACTATGTTTTGGTATGTAGAGTGCAAGTCTTCTACAAAGGAAATAGATTCTACAGAATATAAGATTTGTGTATAAAGAAGTTTTTAATAATATATGATTTTTTTATTTTAATTATGTTTTACATAATTAGATGTTAAATTTAATTAATTACATTTAAATAGGTATTTCAATATATTTTAAGTTATGCACCCACCGTGCATCGCACGGGTACCACACTAGTGTGAAGATGAAGATGATTGGTTGATTTTATTTAATCATATTGATAATGAAGAAAGCTGAATTAAGAAGGATTTTGAGTTATGAGATATAAAACAAAATAAATTAATTGGTCAAAATGTATCAAAAAAAAAGGGGGAAGGTGCAAACATAAAAAGAAAGAAAAAAATTATGAGGATCGCTTTAACTACCGTCACGAGTCCAATCAGGGTCAAGAAAAAGTGCAAACGGAGAGAAAAAATGAGGAGGATGATGACTCTTAACTACCGTCACCAAGTAATATTATTATTATTAATGTTAGAACGTCTGAAGAAATAGCGTTGGAATAAATTATATGGAACAATTGAGTTAATTCAAATTATAAGCTAAACCATTGTCAACTGAGGAAGTAGTAGTGTTCGAATAAATTAAGTAAAATGCTACGGTCCCGTTATGGAATCATTATGTCGAAGTTTGTAACCGTTAGATCATCACCAAGTAACTATCGGGGATAGTTGATCTAACGATTACAAACCTCGACGGAATGATTACATGACGGGACCGTAACATTTCCCATAAATTAATAGGTAATGATTGAGTTAATTCTAATTATGAGCTAAAACAATATCGTCATATATAATTAAATTAATATTAAGATATACTAGTATTTGATCCTGTGCATTTGCACAGATATAAAGCACATTTTTATTTGTATTTATTAATTAGACATGTACTTCTATCATATAAAAATTATTATTTTTTTAAGTTATTTTTTATCATTCAAAATTAATTGAGATTTAAATTTTATTTTAACCATGCAACGTTTACATTAGTAACATGAATAAAATAATTTATATATTTGTGGTATATATTAAGAAAATTAACATAAATAAAAAAATTATTGGTGTTTCTGATTTTTAGAAAAAAAAATATGTGTCAATCATATTTTTATTCCAACAATGCAACCAAATATAGCGGTTACAGCTCCGAATGTGCCAATCAACTTTAAGTTCCAACATTAGCCGTTACACATTTGAACATTTTGTCACCAAATTTAGAATTAATTTAGTAACTGATCCAAAAAAATAAATAATAAAAATATATATTAAGGTGTAATTAGTGAGTAATTAATTAAAAAATGTAACTCCTTTTGAAGAGAAATGAAAATAGATTTTATTAAATGTTTTATTAAATGTATTAGCTAGTAATTATATATATATATACCTTGTCCGGAAAGGAACGATATATATAATAATTATGAAATAGCTTATGAATAAATAATCAAAATCAGAATAGATGTCATGTGAAAGTAAAATAATATGATGTGTTTTTCAGATTTGGATGACGATTTTATTTTAAAAAAACAGCACGTGTTTAAAATCATCTCCTTATTTACTGCAAATCATTGTGTAAATTTAGTTAGGCATAATTTCATTTTTGGTCTATTATATTGGCCATTTTTCAGAAATGATCCACTAATTTGACAGACATCAAACTTGATACAATAAGTTGTAAAATTCATCATTTTTGGTCCATAAGCATACGTGGCGTTTTATTGGACGAATACGTGGACAAGTTTGATGTCTGCCACGTAGGCTCTTGTGTGATTAATGAACCAAAAATGATGAATTTTACAACTTATTGTATCAAGTTTGATATCCGCCAAATTAGTGGACCATTTCTGAAAAATGGCCAATATAATGGACCAAAAATGAAATTTGGCCAATTTAGTTATGTAAAATTATAGGATGTGTCCTTCGAAGGTACGTGTTTAAAATATACTATCCTAAAGGCAAATTATTGTGGTAATTATTGAGTTAAAAAAGCTAAACGTCATTATTAAAAATAATATACACGAAAATACAGAAAAATAAATATATAAACAAATTGCTTTTTTCTTTTTTCTTTTTTTTTTTCTTTTTTTTTTTTTATTTACTTGAAGAGCATATATTCCATTAAATTCGGGAAATACAGCGGTCGTATCCGACGGCTCATTATTAGTTAAACCATGACCATTAAACATGCCACGTAGACTTACCCCATCTATATATATAAAAAAAAAGATAAATAAATAAATAAATAATAATATTAATCAATATAATAAAAATAAAAGAAAACACAAGTGAATGTAGTATAAAGTATAAACGAGTATGGTTCCTAATAAAGCATAACTGTATTTTATTATTCCGACCAAGTTTGACTAGTCTTATTATGAAGGATCCCTCTTTCTTTCCCTCACAAAAAAGTGTATCCATAATCTATATATAAAGTACCTTAACCTATCCATGCATCTCACTCCACACAACACAAATACAATAAACTCTTCACTCACTCACACACTCACCTGCAAAAAACTAGCAAACTATACAATAACATATAACTAGAGTTCGATCGATTAGAGCGTACCTGCGTATATATATGCTAATGGAGTCGAAGATTTTTCTCAAACTGAGGCCTTATTTGGGTGTTATTTTCTTGCAATTCGGGAGTGCCGGTTTTGGTATAGTCGCGAAGGCGGCTCTAAATCAAGGCAGCAGCAATTACACTTTCGCCGTCTACAGAAATGCGATTGCCGCTGCCCTTTTCATCCCTTTCGCCCTCATTTTCGAGAGGTCTGATAATAATAATATTCATTCTTATTATCCCTTTTCATTATTATTTAATAAAGTATATTACATTCTGTGTTTATCGATATTTGTTCTAACATAGAGTTTTATAAATTTGAACAGGAAAACCAGGCCGAAAATGACGTTTAGCGTATTTTGGAAGATCTTGCTGCTTAGCTTATTTGAGTAAGTAGTGTGAAATTGCATATATATAGCGAAAATTTCCAACTGAAATCTATTTTTTTGTCCTTAATGTGGAGTAATAACGAGTGGCCGTCTTATTTGTAACAGCCCGGTTATCGGTCAGAACATGTTCTATGCCGGGATGAGATATTCGTCGGCCACTTTTGCTGCAGCCCTGTGCAATCTCATTCCTGCTATCACTTTCGTATTGGCTTGGATACTTAGGTTAGTGATTACTACTCATTCAAATATCACATAAGTCCTAAAGAAACGATGATTAATTAATTTGGATGTAATTACTACTCATATTTTGCAGGATTGAGAAAGTGAACTTCAAAAGCCTTCGGAGCTATGCAAAGATTATGGGGACTTTGGTTACCGTAGGTGGAGCCATGCTTATGACTCTGATCGCCGGGCCCGTGATAGGATTGCCATGGACACACGAATCCCATGATAATCAACAAACCTCATCACCAGAAGATCCCGTTAGGGGAGCTATCATGATAGCCGTTGGTTGTACCGGTTACTCCGCTTTTTATACCCTTCAGGTATATACACTAATATACATGCCTTTCAAATCTATATTATGTAAAATTTACTTATTTACTTGTTCTTGTTAGTCTTATAGTATTTACTCAAAATACAAGTGTATTTTGTTTAATAGGCAATTACCTTGAAATCGTACCCAGCCGGGCTTTCTCTAACGGCTATGGTGTGTTCTCTCGGAGCCTTCCTCGGAACTATTCTCACTTTCGTGGCCCAAAGAGGAAATACTTCAATTTGGATCTTTGGATGGGATGCCAAACTCTTAGCATATGTCTATGGGGTAAGACTTTTTCTCATTTTTTTTTTGGGTTCCAAAGTATATTTTGATACATGACAAGATAAATTTATCCAATTATAGGTAAATCATTTACATTTTATTCATTATAATAATAGTAATTATTTTTTTCAGGGAGTGGTGTGTTCTGGCATAACATACTACTTATCAGGGGTGATAATGAAAGAAAAGGGTCCCGTTTTCGTTACCGCATTTAATCCTCTCGGCATGGTCATAGTCGCAGTTATGAGTTCTTTCATTTTCGCCGAGCAAATGACCGTGGGAAAGTGAGTTTCCACAAATCTGTGTGTGTGTGTGTGTGTGTCTAGCATAAATACATTATATACCTATAACATGAAGAGTTTATACAATTTCTAAAGTCAAGGCAAAAAACTCAATGATGCAGGGTATGTGGTTCGACAGTTATTGTCATTGGGTTGTACTTAGTAATTTGGGGCAAAAGTAAGGACGAAAAAGCAATAGAAGATTCCCACCAATTGCCAAGAACAACCAGAAGCCTTTCTACAAAAGTTGAGCCCAATATTGAACCGAAAGTTGAACGTGCTACGAGCATCCGAATCCGTACCCAGTCATTTAATCACAAACCGTTCGCATTATCCTCCGCATCATCATTTCACTAAAATCTCATAAATACTTCTACATTTGTTATACATTACATTCCTCTACGCTTGTCTTCGGATTTGGCTCTGTTGTTAGCCGATACATTGTACTATCTACTGCTTATTTATTTAGATTTACGAGCATATATATAGGACAAGGATGTAACCAAGTTGTTTCACCGAATGAAGAAAGCATTATTGGTTGTCCTCACTCTTTTGGCATCTGCTCTCTTTTCTTTCCAAGCTTCGTTTTCATTTTCCTTTCAATAGTGAACGTTAACGAATGACACACATTAGTTTGAATGTTCAGTGTTATTCATATCATCTGCAGACATGAATTCATCCATAATAGTTTTGATGTAGATCATCATTTATCGTTTTTAACCAATTCGCTAATTAAAGATTAAATCAGCATTCCGCGTGCTCCATTAGATCGATCGGCACTTCGCACTCACCAAAGACACATCGACACTAGCTTGTTCCTTGTAGTCATGATCTCAACGTCGTCGCCAATCACACCAATCCTTCGTGTCGATCTCACCACTGACATAACGTTCTTCATGTCGATGTCACCATCCAGTGTGAAAGAAGTTTTCGCCCATGAAATCGATATATGTTTTATCTCCAAAAGGGCAGACTCTCAGTAAGCATGTTGCATCCAGCTGAAACCTTAGAGCAGCTCCAGCCCTGCTCTATCTCTCTGCATATGCGCTATTGTAGCGCAGAAAACTCCTCCAACCTTGCGCCAGAAGGTTGCGCTACTTTGGAGAAAGTAACAGTGTTGTGCCACATCTGTTGCAACATTATAGCATCTCTACATATTTTTTTATTTATTTTTTTCTACGTATTTTAATGTAATATTAATGATGAATTTTTGTATAACATGTATTAGTAAATGTATTTTTTATGCTAAATAATTTTTTATTTATTTATTTATGTATTATAATTTACTAGTCAAATTTTGCAATTTAGACCACATGTAGTAGGTAATGAGCGCAAGTGTGATAGTTTGATTGCTTTGTGGGACTCTGCAAAAGTTCCATTATACGCGTTTCACATACCTTAAAAAATTTGTAAATTATGTCTTTATGTTTTTCTTATTGGTTCATATGGGAATAAAAAAAAATTATAAGATCCCAAAAGCAACAATGAGTTGTATTAAAACATTTTGGTATTTTATTCTGTCTGACGCCCAAATTTAGATACAAATTTGTTAATATTTTATTGAGAAATAATATATTTTAAAACACGTGATGTTAATTATTTAGTAGTTCTTTATTAATTGACATTAATTTCAAGCCTCTTAAGTTTTAGATATTAATCATACTTAACAGATGTGTTTAATAAAAGTAACCATCCAATGATTATAAGATTTGGAGATTCTACAGTCCCGTTACGGAACTATTCCGTTGGGATTTGTAACCGTTAGATCAACTATATATCCACGACGGTTACATGATGATCTAACGATTACAAATCCAGACGAAATAGTTCCGTAACGTGACGGTAACATTTTCCTATAAGATTATCAATATTTCTAATGATCATAAAGTCCAATCCGAGCTGATAGTTCATGGGAAAGAAAAGGCAAACATAAAAAGAAAGATAAAATGACAAAGTGGGACAAAAACATGTTGATCATGATAGACAATTGCACTATAAAGTAACAAACTTGGGGGAAAAACAGGTGCGGTCCCACTAACATGAAACGCACCAAAACAGGAAAAGCCCATATGAAGTCCAAGTGGGGTTCCATCCCAAAACCAATTGGTGAAAAGAGGAGTAGCTCATTAGACTTATAAGGTGGGTCTATTTTTTATGTATGAACGATGTGGGACAACTCACAAGTGATATTCTAATACACAGCATAATTAATTAGTAAATAAATTGTTTTTTTTTTTTTTTTGGTTCCTCCAAGATTAAAAGAGTCACATGCACACCATTGATAGAAAAAATTATTACACGAAACGAGATGCTCGTAAGGTCAGATACGCTCGTTAAGGTCTGGCTTTTTCGACAAACGAAATTAAAAAGTTCGACTCGATAAGGTTGAATAAATGGGAAGGTTTACATAATTTCTGAAAATTTTAATATAATTTCACTCGTTATTAAGCTGGCCCGTTTATTAATTGAATTCGAACTTGTTTATAGGCTCGTTAAGATCGTTAACTCAAACAAGTGTCTCTCGACTCATTTACAGTTCTACCCTACAACGGCCCAACATCTTTTTTTTTGGTACAGGGACCTTCCGGTTTTCGGATCCAAAAGGGAACCGACTAATCCGGAATCGAGCCGGGTAGGACCACAAGGGCGGCAAAGCTCTCCCTCAAGAGTTTTAACACTGCTGCATTCCCAGGACTCGAACACGAGACCACTGGTTAAGCTGGAAGAGACCCAAACCATCTCATCCAAGCGCTCTTGAGTAACGGCCCAAGATCTTTAATATTATTTTAGGTCCAGTTTTGTTGGCGTAATGTATATTTATAATTTTTTACGATGTGGTAAAAACCAAGTAAAAAAAGTCAAAAATTTTCAAATATAAAGAAATTGAATTTCTACTCATATCTGAAAATTGAATTAAATATTAAAAAGATATTTTGTTTTACAGCCTGGCCATTTCCTACGGAAATATTTTTTTTAAAAAAATAATAAAAAAAAAGGAAAAGAAAAAATAGGTCTATTAGAGCATCTTTAACAATAAATTTTCATAAACCTCATTTTACACTTCCCAACATGCCACATCATTCAAAACCTCATTCTTACTCCTACACACATAAACCTCCAATAATAATAAAATCTATAAACCTCTTTTGTATGGTCCCACATGTTTCTCACTCAACATTATACTCTTATATTTTTACTAATATTTTTACATTACAATTCCACTTTTTATATTTTTAATTTTTTTTATTGAAGTTTATATGAGGTTTAAGAATGTAAACCTGGTTTACATTTGTAAACCTTAAACCTTCCTCCTCTAATAGTTAAACCTCTAAAAGTGAAGTTTATAAACCTCACCAAAACCTCTTGATGATGCCCTTAAGTATTATGTACTAACTACTAACATATCAAATTATTAGAAAAGACAAAAGCAATGTGATGATATATATATATATATAGTATAATAAAGAAGTAAGTAAATGGATAGCCAATCACACCACTGTAGATAAGTGTACAACTCGTGACCTATTGTGTCATATTTAAAATTAATAATATAAAATTATGGTTTAATTATGAAATAGTATGATGTGAATGTAACATTAATGTACAATGTTTTTCAGATTTGGAGGGCAGTTTTTATATCACACCAATGCTATTATATATCTTTATTTTATTATTAGTTCTAAAAATAAATTCTAATTAAAAAAATTAGAATAAGCATAGTAAAAAAAATGATATTTCACATAAGTCCAAGAGGGCAACCGACCTCTTAGACTTGTTATCCGCGAGTGAAGAGTCGAACGCTTTTGTATGTCGTTTATTAGTTGTTTGCACTCCAATTTTAATATATAAATTAACATTTACCGATAAAAAAAATAATAATTTAAAATGTAGTGTTCCCCGATGTAAATAACATGCATTTCATATTCCAACATTAATACTAATGGATATTAATATTATACAATACTGATGAATAATAAAATGTTTGATTTTTTTTTTTTTTTTTTTTTGGTCACTTGGAATTAACTATTAAAATCCGATCCAACACAAATAAAATTTGATTCCATTCCAAACATTTACGGTTGGGATATGATTAATTTATTTAATATATCTTCTATATTCCATTCCCACATTTGGATTAAATAATTTATTTATTTTTAAACCTTTTTTTTTTTAAATTCCCTTTTTATATTTCCAAAGTTGACCGTGACAAATTTCAACAATGAGTCAATAATCAGTCAATATATACACATTTCATTGATTTATTAATTAGAAATGCATGCAGCAGTCCTATCTGATGGCTCATTAATTAATTAAAACACATGAGATAACACTTTTGTTATGGAGCCATCGGATGACTCGACTTATGAAGTCATCCACATTTATTCACTAACAGTATATTGACACGTGTCCTGCAATAAATACATTTGGACAGGTGTCAATACATTAAGTGGTGGATGACTCCATAAAAGAACCATCCGATGACTCCATAGAATTTTTGCACGAGATAATTAAAATGCCACGTAGGCATACATATCAGCCCAAAAATAGTAATAATAGAGAAAGAACAAGTGGAGTATGGCTCCTCCTAATGCATGTTTGTCTTTTAACTCAGACCAAGTTGAGACGCCAATAAGTTTGAATAGTCAGTCATATTTTGAAGGTTCCCTTATCTTTCCATGACAAACATGTATCTGTCTATATAAATCAGACACTCAACTCATCACTCAAACACTTGATCACCTGCAGCAAACTAAGCAAACTCTACAAAAAAACATATATATATAATTAATTCGATAGTTCGATTCGAATCACGTACGTGCAATGGATTCGAAGTTATTACAGAAAGTGAGGCCTTATTTGGGTGTTATTTTCTTGCAATTCGGGAGTGCCGGTTTTGGTATAGTCGCGAAGGCGGCTCTAAATCAAGGCAGCAGCAATTACACTTTCGCCGTCTACAGAAATGCGATTGCTGCTGCCCTTTTCATCCCTTTCGCCCTCATTTTCGAGAGGTCTGATAATAATATTCGTTCTTATATATCCCTTTTGCATTGTTTATTAAAGTATATCACATTCTGTAATTGTTTTTCGATAAATTTGTTTTCTTGCTCAAAATTTATTGATTATTGAACAGGAAAACCAGGCCGAAAATGACGTTCAATGTGTTTTGGAAGATCTTGTTGCTTAGCTTATTTGAGTAAGTAGCTATAGTGTTTGAAACTGAATATAACGAAAAAATGTTCAATTGCATTTGAGATTTTATTGTTTTTTTTCCTTTAATGTGAAGTAATAACGTTTGACCGTCTTTTGTGACAGCCCGGTTATCGGTCAGAACATGTTCTATGCCGGGATGAGATATTCGTCGGCCACTTTTGCGGCAGCTCTGTGCAATCTCATTCCTGCTCTCACTTTTGTGTTGGCTTGGATACTTCGGTTAGTAATTACTACTCATTCAAATTTCACATATGTACATAAGAAAAGAAAATGTTACCGTCCTGTTGCGGAACTATTACGCTGGATCTGTAATTGTTAGATCATCATGTAACCGTTATAGATAGTTAATCTAACGGTTACAAATCCTGACGTAATGGTTCCGTAACGGGATCGTAGAATCTCCCAGAACGATAATTAATTAATTTGGATGTAATATTTTGCAGGATTGAAAAAGTGAACTTCAAAAGCCTTCACAGCTATGCAAAGATTATGGGGACTTTGGTTACTGTAGGGGGAGCCATGATTATGACTCTGATTGTTGGGCCCGTGATAGGATTGCCATGGACGCACGAATCCCATGATAATCAACAAACCTCATCACCAGAAGATCCCGTTAGGGGAGCTATCATGATTGCCGTTGGTTGTACCGGTTACTCCGCCTTTTATACCCTTCAGGTATATACACTAATATATATGCTAAAGTCCCGTTACGGAATCATTCTGTCGGGATTTGTAATATTAGATCATCATGTAACCGTCAAAGATAGTTGATCAAACGGTTACAAACCCCGACAGAATGATTCCGTAACGGGACCGTAGCATATCCCTACATTTCAAATCTATGTTATGTAAAATTTACTTATTTACTTGTTCCTAGTCTTATAGTATTTACTCAAAATAAAAGTATTTTGTTTTTTGGATGTATAATAGGCAATTACATTGAAATCGTACCCAGCTGGGCTTTCTCTAACGGCTATGGTGTGTTCTCTTGGAGCCTTCCTCGGGACTATTCTCACTTTCGTGGCCCAAAGAGGAAATACTTCAATTTGGGCCTTTGGATGGGATGCCAAACTCTTAGCATATGTCTATGGGGTAAGACTTTTTCTCAATTTTTTTAGTTCCAAAGTATATTTTGATACATGACAAGATAAATTTATCCAATTATAAGTAAATCATTTACATTTTATTCATTACAATAATAGTAATTATTTTTTTCAGGGAGTGGTGTGTTCTGGCATAACATACTACTTATCAGGGGTGATAATGAAAGAAAAGGGTCCCGTTTTCGTTACCGCATTTAATCCTCTCGGCATGGTCATAGTCGCAGTTATGAGTTCTTTCATTTTCGCAGAGCAAATGACCGTCGGAAAGTGAGTTTATACATCTTATGTATATATATAATCTCTTGCATACACACTCTATATGCCTATAACATGAAAAGTTTAAACAATTTCTAAAAGTCGATAAAAATCTCGATGATGCAGGATATGTGGCGCAACAGTTATTGTCATTGGGTTGTACTTGGTAATTTGGGGCAAAAGCAAGGACGGGAAAGTAACAGAAGACTCCCAACAACTGCCAAAAACAACCAGAAACCTTTCAACAAAAGTTGAGCCCAATGTTGAACCGAAAGTTGAACGTGCTACGAGCATCCGAATCCGTACCCAGTCATTCAATCACAAACCATTCAATTTATCATCCACACCATCGTTTCACTAAATATCTTTTTAAGTATTTCTACATATGTTATGCACTACTTTGAAAAATTGTAGAATCCATTAAATAATATTTTAAAAAAAAAAAAAGAATCTGCAAAAATAAGTTGTTAGTTGTTAGATCAAATGAGGGTTCCAAAAGCTTCCTCACAGAGGCAAATATATTGCATGCACCAATCACATGATTGTGCATGAGCTAGAAAACTCGAGTTGACACAATCCTCTACATTTGTCTCATTTGGATTTGAATGAACAATTTTCATGTAGCAGACACATTGTACTACTTAGTGCTTCTTTGTGTAGTGTTTCGAGCATATATATAGGACATGGTTGTAACCAAGTTGTTTATTTCACCGAATGTAGAAAGCATGAAAGCATTAATGACTGTCCTCACCCATTTAGCATCGAGTGAGGGGCACCTACGGGGCATTTTTAAACAGCACCTACGGTGCTCCCTCCCCCACCCTTGGATCATGTTAAGTGGTGGGGAAGGGGGCACCGTAGGTGCTGTCACCGCAGGCGCCCCTCATGGCCTCACCATTTAGCATATGCTCTCTTTTCTTGCAATGCTTCGTTCTCATTTTCCTTTCAATAGTTCTGTTGTTGAAATCCATTTTATAGAGTTAATCACAGATGTGAGGCCCCATTATAGTGGTTGTAAATGAATGATATACATAAGTTTGAATGTCGCTAATATGAATGCCATCTAATGATATGAATAAACCCCATAATAGTTTTGACGTGGATCATCATTAACGCTTTGAACCAATTTCCTAAAGATAAATCGGTACTCCACGTCCTCTGTTAGATCGGCGCTTCGCCCTTACCAAAGGCGCATCGTCACTTGTTCCTCATCGCCTCAATCTCAATGTCGACGTTAATCACAACAAGGTTCCATTGTGCCAATCTCATTGCTAATATAACTTTTTTCATGCCGATGTCACCATCCAGGAGTTGCCGCCCATGAACCTGACACTGCCACTAATCATGTTGCATGCAGTTGAACCCTTCTACAAATTGGAGCTAGAAGGGGGGCTCAAGGATTGATTTTGGTAAATCCTAGTCATATTTAAAATTTTGTTTATATTTTCTTTATACTCGATCATGTCGTCATCAACAACCAAGAAAACCACACCTCTCCCTCCGCAAACATAAATCATTTTTTTACAAACTCCATTTTTATAATAGGGTTAACCAACCTCTTTTCCCAAGTCCATTACAATGCTTTTCCCCAATAAATCCACTCATAAAAAGCTTTCCACCTCAAACTTATATACAAAACCGTTGCCCCCCAACAGCCAACCTCCCAAGAGGTGGACTCACGTGCCCTGCGTGAGATTACCAAAAGGGTCGAGAAGTCATGGGAGAGAGTCGGGGCTAATCGAATGTCGGGTTTAGAAATAAAAGCCCCTCGGTGTTCAATCGCCTCGGTACCAATCCAAAGCGTTCCAATCTCTGCCACGACTTTAACAAATCCACTCACTAAGAAGGTTGAGGAGATCACGATCCTGCGAGAACGTATTGCCAATCTGGAGGCCCGTCAAAACTCAAGGCCTCACCAACCCTCTACCCTTAATTTCCCCTATCACCTTCCTACGTTCAGTCCGACTCATTCTATATATCTGACCTCCCTGCTATCTCTTCATATCCTGGTCGATATGTTGCCCGCCAAAATAAAAGTTCCCCAGATCGGTCTATACAACGGAGATTCTGATCCTGACGCGCACTTGGGGTGATACGCCTCGTGGATGGAATTGCACGGGGCCAACGATGCTCTTTGTTGTCGCACATTCTCGCTCACTTAGGGCCAAAAAACACAGCGGTTCGTTGGCCCCGAGATCAATAAGTGGATGAGATCAAATTAGATCGGCATTCTGAATCCATTTCCTCAACTCCCATATTTGCATGATCCCCAATGTGTTCATAGCCAACATCATGCAGTCCAGTGAGAGCTTGAAAGATTACGTAGCTTGGTTTACCACCCGGGTCCAAAATATGGATCCATGTCACCGGAGACACTTTTGGTGGCGGTGTATGTTGGACTCCACCCTTCATATTGTCTCGCTAGCCTTTATGCCTGAACAAACTGACAATTAGAAGTTTCTCGTTCGAGCTCAACTGCACATAAACGATGAGGAATACATGTCTTTATCGATCTTCGAGGCCCCTAAAGCCCCACCTACACAAGCCAAGGAGACAAAGCCATTCATAGGCCCCAAAGATCATGAATCCTAAGCCGCGTGAATTAAGGCGACCCGGGAAAACAATAAGAGGCGACGACCAACAATAAAAATGTCAACTCCATTGGTGTCGTCGACATTTATGAGGAGATTAAAAATAAGAGGAATCCGCATTGGACAAGTATTGTGCCAATTATAAGATCCATGGGCACAAAATGGACCGTTGTCGTAATTTGATGTCGTCTCTACTTTAATCAATTTTTAATCCTTGGCTCGAACCATTCGCCCGACCTCATTTGAAACACAAAATGGTGGACATAAACGATAAATGATACTCCAACGAAGAAATCCACACCATCGCAAAACGAACAAGGGGTGGACAAAGGGAGGTTCTCGTTTTTCTAACCTCTACACTAGCATGAGGCCAATCCATCAAAGTCAATCTTTTTAAATAAGCATCAACGCCACCCCGACAAAGCCATCTCCTCATGGCACCGACCTCAATCCCGTTGGGTACCTCTCGATCACTGTAAATCTCCATGATAGTTTCAGCGAACTTCTTTGGTTCGGCATCCGGCTAGGCTTATCAATACAAACAAGTCAGCGGCTTAATCACTGCAGAAACGACTGGCGAATGCCCGTCAAGCTTAGAATATAGACCAACGTAGACAGGAGTGAGTCTTGTCGTACCTGGTGTCGATCTACACAACGCAGTCATTTTTTCAGATCGCGATGCTAATCAGGTTCACCATCCCCACTCCAACACTATGGTCATTATTGTCTCAATCTTCAACATCCCGGTCCACCGCATTATGGTGGATATTGAAGCCTATGCCAATTGCATTTATTTCAACACCTTGTCCACATGGGTGTTGACATTGATTAGATTTTCCCTTGGACCAATCAATTTAAGGTCTTTGGCGGCGATATCATTATTCTCGTAGATGAGATAACGATGCCCATTAGCTTTGGAGGTGATGGACCCACCAGAAGGACTATTATAGAAACCTTAAAGATTATGGATATGGAGACGGAATACAACACTATTCTTGGTCGGACTACGTTGTATAAGTTAAATATCATCTCCATATACCATTATTATGCATTGAAGTTCCCCACTAAAAATAGGGAGGGAACTCAGTGGGGGATCAACAAGCTGCTTGTGAAAGTATTATGGCGATTCCCTCTCGATAAGTTTTTTTTTTTTTTTT